TTTTTATCATGGTTAGTTAGCTCGCTAAGTCTCCTGTAAGTATTTTGTGGTGTTTGATCATTCTATTTTCATATTTTAATAATTCATTTAGAATTTTTTTCTAATATATAAATGAAGGATAATCTTAAAATCTCAACACAAATATCATTGGTTGGAATATTGCGCATTGAATTGAAGTGTTCAATGACGACATAAGAACATTGGTACCATACATTTCAAGAAAAATAAACATGACAAACATCGATACTAATTATCTCGACAGTCTATGCTAAAATTCGAATTTATTTAATAAATCAATTTGAGTGATAGTTTAGTCAAAGCAAGCAAATAATTCACGATTGTATATAAACAAAAATAAAAACATATGTATTGTATTATAAAAATTTATTTATTTTAATAATCTAAAAAAAAAACAATCAAGACTTTCATATACAACCCCTTATTTCAGCATTGTAATTGATAAAACAATTTTTATCAACATGATGCAATGTTCAAGCTAAGGTCCAATTATGAATCACCAGTATATAGTATTCAGCTTAGTAAACTATTTCAATATCCACAACTAACTATTAATGATTACTTGGTTTCTGTTTGTGGGTTTAATGTAACACTATCATGCCTACACTCTAAGCATTTTTTTCTTTTTTCCAATAATTTTTGCAGTTATTTGTTAAATCAACTATGTTTCTAGCTTTCCATTCCTAATTATTCAGTGCTTCCTACCAACTTATGGGAATGGTGAATATTTTTTTCATGTATAATCTATTGACTATGAATGTTGCTTATTACTTAAATTCAAAGGTATCCATGTTAGGTTTGACGTCTCCAACATATTCTCACAATTTCTCGAAAAAGCATCATATCTTGCGATTGATATCATAGTTTTGTTAGGTATAGTTCAACAAACTCAATCAATATTCGAACTCTTTGAAGTAGCTATCTACATGTGAATATGAAGAACTGAGTAGCTAAAACTCTACTTGAGTTAGTACGATCTTTTACGCTATCAATTAAAATTCAATACATGATTATCTTATTACAATTTAGTCATACTAATTGTGCAGTAGGGGACAACTTATCAGAATCGTATCGAAAGAGTCCTTCATTGATCAGTTTCAGGATGCAATCAATTATACCAAATAGAAGTGATCAAATTTATAGGATGCTCTCTAAGTTTGCTATACTTATTGAGGTTCAACAACACGTTAATCTAAGGTGGTCATTGGGCATTTGTCTATCTCCTAGCTCGCCTAGACACGCTTAGACGTTGTAATAAAAATAGTAATTTTTAATAATGATGAATGAAGTAACAGTTCTGAAGCACTTTCATACTTCAGTTCAAATGATTTAACAACAAGCAAAATAACTCTCAATTTTATAATTTTTTATACCAAATGGTATAATTAATTCATTTATGAGTTGAAATAGCTAATTATAAGCACTTGAATTTTTAAGTTAAAACTCATATGATACAATTGTTTGACGAAATGGTTTTTATCATAGAGTGGTTCTATCGAGAGAGGTCTCTAAGAAACATGGCTTACTTTATTATTCCTTAGGTAGATATAATATATATCTTCATTGTTACTTTTACAATGGATTCAATTTAGTATACTTTTTCGTTTAGATAGATTTTTTTTAATAATTTTTTGGGATATAATATATCATTATTGTATGATGGTGTAGGATATTAGTTCCTCACATTTTAGGTTCAAATTGATGCATTTTTTCCTTTATCGTTCCCTTTTATCAGTTAATAATTTTTATGATATTTTTCACTATGAAATAGTATGACCAGAATCTATACACAACAATTTGTGTTTTTTTTTCGCTTCCTCTTCTCTTGATTAGATATTGTGTCCATATTGATTTTTATATTGATTATTGAATCACTACTTTTTTGTTATGAAGTTTATGAAACTAAGATGCATTTTTTTGAGAAACATGAAACTAAGATGCATATTAATAAAGAATGTAAGGTGTCATCTTCCCTCTTAAGGCTTAAGCACTACATATCATTGTTTACCTACTGTTAAATCAAAGTCTTTCTAACTTGAGTACGAGCTACAATGACTTTTATTGTTGTCGATTTTTCCCAAAATATAAGGTATGTTGCTTTTAGGTTTCGCATTCTTTTCAGTTTGATTTAGCTTTTTATGTGTTGCTCTATTAGTTGAACTTGCCAGTTGGAGATCTTCATGCTTCGACTACATTAATGTCACAGTGACTTCTATATGAAATGCCACTCGAAACATGAGTGTGTGATTTAGTTTGTTTCTTATTAAGGACACTCTAAACATATACTTTGTTCCATTATATCATTGAATACACTAAAGTCAATGAAAAAGTCGAAACATTTTATCGTATACTGAAGATTGATTATGCATTTATGATGTAAAACAACTCTTACCATTGTTCTTCTTAGACGTTTTTATATCAATACGAATTCGTTTGAAAATATGTAGTTATGTTAGTGTAGTTGGACGTTGTTCGTCATTTTTAAAACTTCGTTAGTCAAATACATCAAATACTTTCCTATATTATTAATGGAGAACTTACTAAACTAAATATTTATTTCAAACTCCAACAACATGAACCATAACAAAAATATATACCTACACTTATACATGACAACATGAGAATCAAACTCTCCCGGCCAAGAGGCCGGGCCATGATCCAGTTGATTGAAAGTCCGTTTATACTCTAGAACCATGAATTGAAATATATTGAATAGGATAATAAATTTTAGTGTCTTGATTGATAAATATTGACATAAAATTTTAGTGTCTTGTTATTCCTTTCTTGCCCTCTCCTGAGAATCGACGACCCATCAGCCACCACTTCCCATCTCTCTTTCCCATCTGCATCTCTTTCTTCCCTCCCGATACACGACAACTGCAAGCAAATCAAAAAACCTAGCGACGTCGGCGATTGCAGCGGCGATAAACCTCGCGACGTCGGCGACTGCAGCGGAGTTTTACCATCTCCGATCTACAGCGACGTCGGCGTTCTCCTTGAAGTGCGTTCGATCTCCATCTTCGATCTCACCAGCTTCGCGTGGGATCTGTGCTTCGTGCGCACGAGGATAACAGGGTGGTGAAATTTAGGGCTCGGCTTCCAGGTTCGTCCTCCCTTCCTCCTTTCCCTCCCTATGCTTGGACCGTTCTGGGTCGGGGGCTCTGTTTTCTGGGTTTATGTGAATTAAGAGTTTGGGTTGAGGTGTGAATGATCTTCTTCCTCATTTTGTTTGAATATATTTATGAAAGTAGGGTTCTGTATTGGTGTGAACTGATGAATCTTCTTCCTCATTCTGTTTGATTAAAGGAAACTAGGGTTCTTGGTTTGGGTACGATTTGATTCGTTTTCTTCCACATTTAAATTAGTGTGTTTGGCCTGGCTGGGTGTCTTTCCCTCTTTCAATGCCTTCCTTATGTCTGCAGCCTTCCAAACTGCATACTTCTGCTTTTGTTCAAGCTGCAAGATCCAGCAGACTTTTCCTGTAATAGTAAATAAATTAATAGACGTGTCATAAGGATGGTAGGCAACACTGAATTGCAAAAACTCACTTCAACTTGCAGAGGCCCAAACTGATTAATAATTTCAAAGAAAATGCTCTCTGATTATGTAACTAGTATGAAATTAGTGTGTTTGGGCAGTCTAGTTTGTTTGGGTAGGCTAGTTTGCAAGCAGAGAAAGCTCTCTCTCACTCTAGCTCTCCATTTCTGAGCTGAATTAAGCAAAACCCTCCTTAAGAGATTTTATCTGGTCTGGGTTCGGTTGGGGGAAGAACATCTCTCTCGAATTGGAGGATTGGGGATAAAGACCCAAAAAGATTTGGAGGATTGGGGATCTCTGATGCCAGAACATCTCTCTCCAATTGAGCTGAAAAGTTCTGTGAGAGGATAAACAGTACATTAGGTTGCAGCATTCATTGCTACGGTAAAAGAAATATATAGTTTATCTTATGGGCCATGTAGAAAAAGCATCAGAATATAGAAGAGCTTAAGATATGAGCTAAATTTTATCCTCACAAGCAAAAAATTTGGCATGTCGACTAATAAGTAATAAGCAACCTAATGAAACTTGATGTGTGCAACTGGTTAAACAAACTAGTATATGGAACCTTGAGATATGTTCACATTGGTGACACCTAAAACGATTAGGAAAGAATGTAGAGTTGTAGAGTTATAGCTATCAAGAATGTGGAAATGCTCTCAATTAGTGACTACTGGAAACTTCCAAAATGTCAGCTCCCATTTACCCTTGCACAAATGCTAAAGATGAATCTTGTTTGGAAATACTGCTTGTTAGTTGTGTATTTTTTTATCAGTGATTTGAGTCCTAGCTCCCATTTACCCTTACCACAAATAATGCATCTTTACCTAACAGGTAGAAATTGAACCAAGAATTCGACAACTTTAGCATGATGCTAGCACAAAAACACAGACCAGCTACCAAATACAAGCTTAATGCACGAAAAACGAGAAAGATACAGAGCTTACAAATGAATCGCCAAATGCTTCAACAGCCTGCAGGCCTTCTTCATGCATGTCTTCTGTCATCAGGGGCGGAAGAGTTTAGTTTCTTTATGCAGGGATTCAAATTGGTTACAAAATCTGCAATGTCGAGATAAAGAATTAAACCTGTGTATATGATGCATGCATGCTCTGATATGTCTTCAGAAACTTCATGGACCCAACCACTTCAGCTGAACCCCTCCTTAAATTATCCGAAGACTTAAGAAGTTGGACTAAATTGCAAGTTTGGTCACTTAAATTACTAGTAAAGTTCACGTTAGTCACTATAACTACTTTATTCCATTCGTAGTCACTTAAATTAGGTTAACCGTCCAAATTTGGTCACTGACCGTTAGTCTCCGTTAACTTTTGCTGATGTGGCGGTAACACTCATAGTTGACCGTTAAAAATAAAAATATATATAGTTTTTAATCTATTAAAAATTCCACATCATTATCATAATAATTAAAAAATACCCTCAATCCCACTGTTTGCAAAATCGAAGCCCAGATTCTTGATGCATTAGTAAACACTCTGTTTCTTACACGATGGCGCAAGAGTAAGGGTCATTATTGTGAAAGATATAGTAAGACATGGGGAAAAGGTCATAGCAGGAACTTGGATAGATGAAAGATATATTAAGACCCGCTCATATACCAGTGCTGCTCCCAATTGAAATCGGACCCCGCCGGACCCATCACCCGAACTAGTTTTTGGCGATTGCACAGTCGTCGGAGCTCCGCCGAAATCATGGGGCTTCTCAGCATCATCAGAAAGATCAAGCGGAAAGAGAAGGAAATGCGTATTCTCATGGTGTGCGTAATTCTCTGTTTCCCTCTCTTCCACATCTCCATTTCCAATTGACTCTCCAATCCTGAATGATTTCCCAATCGTTTTTCTCTTTTCCGCAGCGGCCTGGACAACTCCGGGAAGACGACGATTGTCCTGAAGATTAATGGAGAAGACACCAGCGTCATCAGTCCAACCCTCGGCTTCAACATCAAGACCATCACTTACCACAAGTAAGAAATAACCCACGACAAACCCTAATGTCAATTTCTCCACCCCCTCTTTTCTAATTGTAGGAATCACCATTGTTATATATATGTCTTCAAGGTATATGTTGAATATATGGGATGTTGGTGGGCAAAAAACGATAAGGTCGTATTGGAGGAACTACTTTGAGCAAACTGATGGCCTGGTTTGGGTTGTGGATAGTTCAGATCTTAGAAGGTTAGGTGATTGCAAAATGGAGCTTGATAATCTGTTGAAGGAAGAGGTACTAATCTGGTTTCTCTCTGCCACTTTGCTGCTGCTGCTGCTGCTGAATTTCAGTTCCTAGCCTTTGGTATTCATAGCTGCTGTTTGGTGTTTTTGATTCGGCAGAGGCTATCTGGAGCTTCTTTGCTGATATTTGCTAACAAGCAAGACATCAATGGGGCTCTTACACCCGATGAAATCGCCAAGGTACTACAAAATGCTGTGTTGACAATGGAACTAGTATGATCCCAATGCAATTGACAATCGGAGAATCTTCTGCATGTTCTTTTTCCTTTATGGGTTTAGTGACTCTGATTTGATGCTTTTATAGGTATTGAACTTGGATAACATGGATAGAACCAGGCATTGGAAGATCATCGGTTGTAGCGCATATACAGGTGAAGGGCTGCTCGAGGGTTTCAACTGGCTAGTTCAAGATATCGCCTCCAGAATCTATGTGCTTGACTAAATCATAAGCAGATTTGGACCTTATGTTCTTGGTTTCCTTTTGTATTTGTGAGGATTTTGGATGTTAGGAAGTGAGTGTTTTTATCTCAGTCTCGTCGCCTGAACTTCAGAGCACACAGGCTTGATTTTTGAACTTACTGAACCTTGAGCCTTGAGGTGCGACTCCAAACTTGTACTGCTTTGTGCTAAATTGAGGTAAATACATGTGCTTCATTTACATTCCAGATTACAGGGCCCTATTCATTCACAGAGCTACACATCTGCAGCCTAGTTCAACGGATTTCATTACAAGGACTGATCCTACAACTTCAAGGCTCTGGTGACTTTCTTCTCTAGCCTGGTGCATCCGGTGATCCCAAATCGTACTGCAAAATCTGCTGCTGCCATTTTTTTCTTACTATTTGGTTTCTTCTGTGTGTCTTAAGATTTCTGGGTTGTGAATAGTTGAATGACGGATATGTTACGAAAAGCCGGAGAGAGAGAGAGAAACAGAGACAGAGAGGAACAAGCTGATGATGGGTTGGTGGTTTTTGGAACCCTAATTGGGTGCATTTTTAATAAGATTGGTGAGGCAGAGTTTACTAATTAATTGCAGAGCAAAATATGTGAAAAGGCTCCATCTTAGAAACAGAGGATAAGTACTACAAGCTGGAGCAAGAAAAGCAGAGGTTTCGAGGGCATTTATACAGACTGAAGCATATGTCTGTCTACATATGGAGATATCAAACACATATAAACTGAGTTATTAGGCCTTCACAGGCTGCAAGACTGCATCAATGAATTGCTGGGTAAGAGCGGTTGGAAGCCCCATGACAGTATCGCTATTTCCGATCTGCAAGCAAAAGCCATTCAAGTTTCATTAACAAGAATCACTAAGGGCAGATTTTGGTAAAGCAACTAAGGTTCTTTGTAAACCACTAGAAAGCCGAAAGGGGAAGGAGAAAGGCGAACCACTGCTTCAACAAAGGGCAATGTTAATGGATGTTCCAGCATTAGACCTCCAGCCACTTTGAAAGTTATTCCTTCCTCAATCTTCAAAACATCAGTACTCGGTCAATGATTGAGTTCAAGAGAGAACAAGTAGATTAGGCGCAAGAAATGAGTTCATGCCAGAATCTGTTACCAGGCTATCGATGATTTCATCGGGTATCTCATGGAAATATACCTCTGCTCTCTCCCAAGTTACCCTTCTCGAACCTGTAGTGAGATTGGTTACAAGGACTGATCCTACAACTGCAGCATGGCTTCCAGAATAGCCTGCAAGCAAAAGCTGTTAGGAAACTCAATCCCAAATGAATATCAGAGATGGGTTTGGCTGATTAGAGGACTCAGTAAGCAACCTTTTATAAATTCCCTTGCTTCTTCCTCACTGGTTGGTTTCTCTCTCACCACTCCTTTATATACCACGACCTGATGAAAGCCCAAAGAAGTAGATGGGAGGGTAGCAATAAGTTATAAACTATATAGTATATACCCACAAATCAACAATGTCGATTGCAAAACAAGTTCATCTATCGAAATGTCGGATGAGGAAACCAAGATTCATAGCTTAAGGTAATGAATGAAAAGGTAGATGTAATGTAACGGAAGTTAAGAAAGAGGCTATAAGTTCATACCGTATCAGCAGTAATTAACAACGTCATATCAGTATCGTTCTGCAGTTGACCTGTGTTCAGAAGCCTTGCTATGATGGCATCTGCCTAGGAAAATGACCCAAATAGGGAACCATATTAACATAAGCAACTTCAATCATGAATCGTAACCCCAACTATAGTGAATGTTCTTCACCATAGAATCAACAGCATTTAACGAAATGGGTTCCAGAAGTGAAGAAGTGCCATACCTTAGCTTCAGCTAGAGCCATCACCAATTCTTCAGGCTTATCTTTCCTAATGCTTTTCTCATCAATATCTGCAGTCTACCAAAAAAACAGAGATCTCAGCTTCTTTTTATATAATTATTATATAAATACTCAGGAACTCTTCTCATTATGAAAGAGGAACATTCGAGCGGTTAAGAAAGCACCATGACAGTAAATTCATAACCCATCTCAGCTAGAATCCGCCGCCGAGCCATTGATGCCGAACCCAAAATTATCTGTCACAAATTATCACGACCCAATGTCAGTAAGACGGAGGAGTCGCTTCAAATGTGAAAGAACTTCGTTCCACCCCCATTATGTCCGAGAATTCTGCCAGAGTTAGCTCGGTATTGAAACCAAACCCTATTTCAGAACATCAATGAATCTCATTCAGGAGATGGGGTTGGAAATGCCATAGCAAACACCATAAGCATGCAGCTCCGTAGTACTATGAGAAGAGAAGAACCTTATATGAAGGTTTCGACATTGCTGCCGTCAGCATATCGAGCTCTGCACCAATGGTTCTGGGTGGGTGATACGGTCTGCCTTCGTTCGCAGTGCGAGAGAACAAATGAAAGAAATTGTCCTCCTTTATCTACCTATCCATCCAAATTTCAAGGACGAATAAGTCCTCCAATTGATTTTTATGAATAAGTCCTCCAATTGTTTTTATGTTAAGGACGAATAAGTCCTCCCAAGTTAAAATTGGTGACATTTCAATACTTCAAATATCGTTTTCAATGCCAGAAGGCTCGATTTTTTTTTTGTCATGGCCCCAACAAATTCGTAATTGGAATTGTAGGATCTCTTTTAATTGATTCTTTTATTCGATTTTTCTGATTTTACATCATTGAATATATCCATTCGAAAATAATCAAGTGATGATAAAATTATCAAAAATTGGAATTCTCTATTTCTATTCAACAATGTACTAATAGTTCCTTGATTTTGTTTAAGTGATGGTTGAATCTTTGCCTTGGACTAATTGAAATAAAACTAATAATCTCACCCAAACATGCAATCATTGTAATAATCTCATTAAAAACAATAACAGAAACTAAACTAATTTATAAGTTACATTTAGTATAAGTTTGTTATAGAGTAGAGTTGTAACAATAGAGGTACAAACATAACAACATGAAAATAAAATAAAAAAACTAAACCCTATTTAGTTGGTATTATGAGAAATCGTGAAACAGAAACAGAAATGAGTCCAATTACTACTTTAGGTTTCGTTTAGTATGAATGTCAAGACTAAGACAAAAATAGAAAAATAATTTAAGGGATAGTATATGAGAAAATCGAGGCAGAAAAATATATGAAAATAATATTGGTAATAAATGTTTGGGATGAGTTGTGCAAAAATAAAAAGGAAAAAGAATTGGAAAATGGGTTAGTAAAATTTGGTCATAGACACTTTCAAATGAAATTATTTCAACAACTTGTAAGATCTCACAAGAAAGGAAAGAAGCTACTCAAAGAACAAAGTGATATCATAGGTTTAAACTAATTTTTGTTATCTTGTCAACTCATAAATAACAACAAAACAAAACATGTTTTTAGTCCATCAAAACCACCACTAATAATAAAGAGAAACCGAAAATACTACTAAAGAAAGACTTAATTCTTAACATTTGAGAGAAGCCACAAAAGCTTCCTCTCTTAGTCTCTTTCGTTCCTCTCCATCCAGTGCTTTGTAATCAAATACATTCTTCTCTAATCTCTGCCTTTAGAATCTGATTGCAAATCCTTATGAATCAAGCTTCACTTCACCTTTTCCACATTTCCCATTCTAGCTGAAGCTCTTCCACTAAGCTCCAAAATCTTTCGGGTTCATTTTAGTCATTCACAACTCTAATAGTTTTATGGGCTAATACCACTACAACACCCGAACTATCGCGAAAATGCCACTTGTGTCCTATTGTTTGCAATATTCCATCTGTGTCCTGAATTATGATTCCGTAAGTGTTGACTTTTGTTGACCGTTAGTTTTTAACAGAAAATCTAGTCAGCACTGATGTGGCATCTGACGTGGAATTTTTAATATTAATTTTTTTTCCATATAATATTAATAAAATAAGAAAAATAAAATAATTAAAAAATAAAATAAAAATCCGACCTAATCTCCCCGAATCCCCCTCCATTACTTCCTGCTGCAATCTTCTCCCGAATCTCCCCGAATCCCCGCAATCTTCTCCCCAACAACTAAAAAATGCCACAATCTTCTCCCCTCCGACGAGCCAGTAGCTCGGCGGCATCATCGCTCCTTCCTTTCTTCCCCAACACAGCCGACACGAACGTAGCAAGCTGAAGGGGTTTCGAGGATCTGGAGGCGGCGCCATCGATTGGAGGTGGAGGCTGCTACTCTGGCTTCTGGGAAGTCAGACCCTTTGTTGAATCGGAGGAGAGAAGGGCGAGGGTCGTCGGTGGCCGGTGGGAGTTCATAGGGATTTAAGGAGGATGGTCATCGCCATCGATCTGGGAAGGGTTTCCTTGAATCCGACAAATGCACCAACATCAGTTGATTTTGGTGTGGGATTCCATCCGTCCATTGATTTTTGGGCTCACTTGAACGAACCTGTTCTCCCCTCTTGTCGATTTTGGCGTGGGATTCCACCCGCGCGACGGTAGCAGAGACTCCCAAAAGAGGATACAGAGAGATGATGGTGACGAGGTGAAGCGGCGACATCAACTATGAAACCAGATCTGTTTTATTTTTCTTCGGATGTCGTAGCTTCTTTTGGCAGAAAGATTGTGTGATTGCATAAAGGGATTCTATTTGCACCCGTCATCGATGTCGATGCTGAGAGAATCGGAGCCCAGAAGTGCAAATCGGAAGTTGCGTCCATCAGGGAGGAGTACGGACGGCGGAGATGGGGTATTGAGCTTGACAGAAAACCAGAGCCCAGGACCGCGGAGGGGAGAAGAAGGAGATGATGCGGCGACTTCAGTGCTTGGAAAATGGAAATCATTATTGTCTTCATTGTTGGGTCGGATTGGGGGAAGAAGGAGATGATGCGGCAACTTCATTAGCTGGAAATCGAAAGTCTTTGAGATTTTTTAGAGAAAGAGAGGGTGAATCGGTAGGGAAGAAGAATGATGGGATTTTTCATTATTTTGTTTTGAAATTTTGGCTTAATAACATAATTGAATTTACAGTTTTTTAAATATAACTCAATTTTTATTTAATTTGAATTAAAAAATATGAGATCGGTGACGTGGCATCTATGTGGCAACCACATTTTTTGCCACGTCAACAAAAGTCAACTTCGCGTTGACCACCGTTTGGTCAACCGTTATCTTTAACGGTCAACGAAATTGACAGGATACAAATGACACAAAGTATCATAATTCAGGATATGAATGGAATATTGGAAACAATAGGACACAAGTGGCATTTTCCGGATAATTTGGGTGTTGTAGTGGTATTAGCCCTAGTTTTATCTGCCTAAAAATCATCAACATAATCAAATTACGAAAAATGTAATCATCCCAAAGTTATTAACTTATTTTTAATAATTTTACTGGACATACTTTGCACTATGCTATTTGCTTATGTCAATAATTTCTCCAACAAACCTCCTGATTAAACAAATCCAATTAAAGGTGCAAGAAAATACAACTTACAAAGTTACTGGCAAGCAGAGCATCTGCAAACTCTACATAGAATCTCAAGATCTTGTCAATAATTGGCAGCCTAAACACATCATTGAAGCAAGTTCTGAATTATTGAATCACATTACTTAGCTTACTCTATTCAATATGCAGATACAACAATTACAATTTACAAGTTCATCTCCTACATTGACCCTGGCCTTGCCACGGCTGGTGTTTGTAACACTACAAATCCGTTCTCGGAATAACCTCATTAGGCCATCTTCCTATCATCTCATCAGAAAACAAGTTTCCCTACCAGCACAGAAGGAAGAGTCACAGTGAGGTTGTCATCGAGCTCGGTACTTATGGGGAGCGATTCGACAATGGCCGATGCAACAGACGCAGCAAGGACCCTAACACCATCCCCCAGCTCTCTTCAACATACCCAAATGAGGCAAAATAATGCATATACCTGAGCAGCAACCAAGGAAGAATAGGCAGGGTCAAATATGCATACTAATGCTAGTTAGACCCAGACGAGGAAGAAAATTTACCCAACAGATGCTAAGAAACCAGACAGTGCCATTGCAGTGCTCCCAGCTACAGACTTGTTTCTGTTGTGAGGTAGTTTCTGACTGCCAAACCTTCTACCCAAAACGTCTGCCATCCCTATGAGAGATCACCAAAACGAAAGATGAAGGTTGAGGAGATGGTATAAACACAACGATTGTAGAATTGTAGAGAAGAGTCTGTTTAATTAGAAGGTACCATCTCCAGCACATAAGTTGCATATAGCTGCAAAGCCAATAGGGGAAGTCCTCCACCAGATTGCACAAGCCAGTGTGATGGTTGTAGCATAGTATAGCGGCCCCTTGAGAAGTTCCCTAATAATAATTCAATGAAGGAGAATACGAGACACTGTGAGAGTAACATAAACAGGAATAACAAACTGATGATGGTAGATGATGTTGAGAGGAACAAATTTGAATTCGTCCGTCTGTTTTTTTTTTTATCTTGAAGAAACCTCAGATTAAGTACATATATATTCTAAGAATTGAAAAGTCGGAGCTTTGGGGAGATGGATGAAGATTAGTCTGACCTGCGGTCACCAAATCTGCTCATTGATTTTACAGTGGCTTCATCTTTCCACAAACCAGATCCAATAAGAAGCATTTTTATTATGTTGGCACCATCTAGATCAGAGAAACCAAATCAGTTCGTTCCATTTATCTGCTAATAAAACTTTAGGTATTCACTCTAGGTCAAGAGAACACATAGATACAGAAATTCAACTACCCAAAATCGCTCAACACATGCCTCTGTAGCCTGTAGGTGGCTCTAATCTTAAGCAAAGAAGGATCACGGGGGTGTCAGAGGCAGGCACAGTACTTGGTAAAATTGGGTAAAACTTGAAATTGGGGGTGGGAGAAGAGGAGACCGCCCGCAGCGGAAAACGCTCACTATAGAATAAATTACATATTTGATCACTCATTTTATTAAGAAAATATACTTTTTGGACCGGAGTTTCCACCCCTTTATTATTAGCTACCCATTTTAAGTATCGTTCAACATTAGTCACTGACTGATCAACTTTGTTAAGCTTATTAGGCCAAGTCCAATCCAAAATCCAAAATATGGGGGCCTTGAATCCCAAATTTGGGGATTGAACCTCATTTTCCCTTCTTTTGCTCCAATGCAACAAACTCCATATTTGGGGTTCTTAATATTTCCAGTTTTTTCATTTACTTAAAAATGTACTTATCGTAGTCTTAATATAATTTATTCATGTTAATTTTTGTATAGTTCGTCATCATTTTTTAATACAAATTTTTCGATAGAATTTTGTTAAATTTCGATTCCGAATTTTTTTGACAAAAAATTATGTACCTAATTTGGGTTTACACACAACACTTGAAAATGATTCATATAATTAAATCCCTAACTAATCCCCTAATTAAACTCTCAATTAACCCCTAAAATCTTAAAAAGAAAAAGAACAGCCACGTGGAGGGCTTTGGTGAGCCTCTATATTTGGGGGATCCCCCATTTCCACCTTCAAATTTGGGGTTCCATATGCAGGATCCTCCATTTTTGGAGGCTCAAACCTCCCCATTGGACCATCTCCTCCTTCATTTTTGCATATTCCCCCATAAATGGAGTACCCATTGCACTCAGCCTTATAGGTGACAATCAGCAATAGTGTTTAACCGACAATTAATTAAAAGCAATAAATATTTATTTTTATATATCCACCTGACCCATCAGTGAAAGTAATAAAACAAACTTCCTAGTTCATAACCAAATGGCAAATGTTCCCCCTCCCTAGCCTTCCCTTCATTGGATTTTACATCTTTGTTCCTGGCTTTCCTTGTAATCCTTTGGATTTTGGTTTAGGGACTCCACTCATTGTCTTCTCTTTGTGCTCTCCAGACTTCAGTTGGGTTTGGACTTTGAAGTTAGGGATTTGATATCTAATAAACTACTTCACTCTAACAAAGGCATGTGTTAGTTGATAGATACATTAGACTGATGCCCTGGTGATGCTCTAAAACACAACACCTAACAATGGCCAAGTGTAACCAATGAAAGGGACTGCAGTATAGTGGCACAAGTAATAAATATCAAATCCACGGGTCTATAGAGTTACTATTACTCAGCTTCAGTTCATTATCTAGCAAACTAGATTAAGGATTGATTTATAAACTACTCTACTAACTACTCTACTAATTACAAGTTGTGAACTCACTTAGGTATGATTCCCCCTATCTCCTCAATTAGGTCCAAGTTGTAATTCCTTTTGGTTGTTTTACTGTTGATTAAACTGCGGACGATTCGACAGTAGCTTGGAATCTCTTAAGCTGACCAAGCCCTCTCAGTCTAACTATCCGGCAGACGACTAGTCTTCACCGGGATAGAAAGCTGAAGCAATAAGCACAGAACTCCACTACTGGAATTGGATTCCAGTGCAAAGCAGTAAACTGACTAACTCTCGTATAGCCAATCTCCTACTACCGAATGATGAGACTCTAGCAACCTAATCAGATTCTATCTATCTCAGGTTGCAGCAGAAATCAGGAAAAGTTGATCAGACTTCAATTGACTCAATAAACATGCATCATTCGATTAATAATCAAACAATATAGCATCCAAAACTTCATACAAGAAAGATCCTAACTCATGGAACTAGGGTTCCTCAAAACCTAAGTGAAGGGAAGTTACTCCATAGAGAAGAGAGAGACTGCAGAAATCTGATCTAGATCTTCAATCTCCATCTCCAAGCTTGATTCCCGAGCTCCAATGGCGAAGAAATCCCCCAAAATAGCTCCAAGAATGTTCCCAAGTCGCTCTCTCTCTCTAGGGTTCGTCCCTTGGGTGTATTGGAACCAAAACCCCAGCTCTCTCTTTCCTTTGGCTCTAATCTGCCTCAAAAACCCGATTCTGGGCGAATTACGGGCTGAATTACGGTCGTAATTCTTCCATGCCCGTATTTTGCCCAAAACACGCGTTTTGGTTAAGTTTCAGCGCACCCAAAGCTCCTCTCGGCAGTGAAATTACGGGCATGGGAGGGGAAATTACGGTCGTAATTCTCATGCCCGTAATTCTTCCTCCACCCCTGTTCAAAGCTTCGTTTCTCCCTCGTCCGGACTCCAAATCAGTCGCCGTTTGAACCCAGACGCTCGTAGTCTCGTCCTCTTTCTTTTCAAAACAAACTTTCATGATTCTTTGTACATAAAGTGAGGTAGAAATCCATTCTTCTTCAGGTCATGCTCGTGTTTCTTCTCCCTAATCGCCAATTGATCTCCGATTGACTTGAAACTTGCGCCTACGCTTCACTTTATGTGCTAGGGCCTGAAATGTGACAAAGGAACACAACCTAGCGTAAAATAGGCCAAAGAAGCGATAATGCAAGCTTAAACGATCAAGAAACAAAGTGGAAAACATGTGCAAATATCGAGTCATCAAATTCCCCCACACTTAACTGTTTGCTTGTCCCCAAGCAAACCTGACTCAAACCAATGCAACTCTCCAGACCTCTATAGCAACAAACAACCCCGATCGTCGGTAGAGGATTTCCTAGATCATATAGCAGCTTACGAGGTCAACTGGTCTTCTAAGACGTTCCCTATCTCTCTCAATGCGAGTACTAGACTCAAGCCAGAATCATGAGAAGAAGTAGAAGTAAGACAGTCAGTTCATGGATAAAGGGACTCACACCATTCACTACCAAGGATTCGTTGTACCGGGGTGCTCTTTCACTTCATTTCATCGTTGGAACCCCTTTTTCTCACTTTCATTTACATTTTTTCTTTCATTTGGTGGGGTTCCAACTGCAGTCTTTTGCATGGTCGACCCTTATTAGTCGAGCAAGAGCAATTTCTGTACATCTGGAGCTCGCCAGAGTACTTCTTTTAACTCCTTTTCCTCAACTCGTGTGGAGGGTCAATGAAATTAAGGGGGGTCGGAAGCTCTATCCGTGCCCTTAAAAACACTTCCTCAAGTAGGCAAACCGTTCAACGGGTGAAAATTTTACTTGTACTAGAGACATCTTAGCTTCACCTTGTAGGAGTACCCCACTAAGGATCACTAAAATCTCTTCCAAAACCCGATTTTTGTGCAATGAACGGTGCCGCACACGTTGGGCTTACCCCATGTTTAAGATTTTATGATTTTGACATGGAGGACCAACTGCTTTTCATTTTTCACATGAGCACCCTGTTCGATATACGAGTCCATAACACAATCCAAACATAGTCACCATTACCACATGAATTCAACGGTCTTAGCTCCACTAATTCACAAAATCAACTGGCACAGCAGAGAGCTAGATAGGAAAAATCTTATACTTCAACATCCTCCATAGTGCTACACTACCTCCCTAGGTTGCACATTAATATAGAGACTGTCAATTCAAAGCATACTGAGCAGGCAATTTGCAAAGAAACACGTACTTGGAGCCCTCAAATTTAAAAATTTGGACAGTGGACTAGGCTCCAAGCACACAAACAGCCAAACATTCACCCGTATACATAATCGAACATCCCCCCACACTTAAGCACGACATTGTCCTCAATGGAGGAAAGATAAGGTGGGTAGAACGAAGTTACCAGATCCAGGGTGAATGATGGTGGACGGGGCAGGCGGTGTATTCCAGGAGGAGAGAGTGGTCAGACCACAAACACCACACAAAATCTCACAAAGGTTGAGTTATTGACTCTAAAATCAAATAACAAAACTGACTCAACCGAGGAGAAATAGAGAAAGAAATGCAAACCGACTGGTTGGGTTGCCTCCCAACAAGCGCTTCTTTCACGTCGTCAGCCGGACAATGGCTCCTAAGTTTCGGTCCATGCTAGAACCTCCTTGAAGTTGAGGTTCTCGTCGATGAGGTGGAGTCTCAAGTCACGAGCATGTGGTGTGGCAGGTGATGAAGGCTCATGTACTTGATGCAGATGAAGTCTCCACCCTCGAGACCTCTTCTTCTCTTCTCTCGTCTCATTGCCCCAAACCAGATATGACAGCATCGATTGGCCACCATCGCGTCCACCAAGAGGGACCGATGTTGATGTGGCCTTGGTCTGGCAAAGAGACACTGCAAATGGGTCCTTGCTAAGCAGTTCCTCAAAGTTTGGTGGGGATATCACTTGCAACTCATGGCCGGTGCAGGCCTCTTCCACTTAACTCCGTTCTCAGCTTGGACGCCAATTGCTTCTTCAACCCCCCTTTCTTCTTCATGTGGTATCACCCCTGGGAAATGATCAACAACTCCTCCTGCTTCACTTTCTTCATCCTCCACAACTTCTTTCTGCACCCTTTCTTGCTCTTCTTCTTCTAGCACAGATTGGAGAGCAAGTCGCCATGTAATTTCTTCAATGAGATCATCTTGCATCTCCTCGCTCGGGCCCGGCATGTTAGAGCAGAAATAAGGAATTGTGTGATCTACAACCAGAGGACTTTCCTGATCATGATTATCATGGGAGTTCTCTGTGATAACTTCTGTATGCTCCTCAACATCCTCATAGCCTTTGTCATCCTCCACCTCTTCTAGCGTGGTAGCAGAAAGGTGATCTTGAGCAAGATGTGAGCAAACTTGCTCCACCCACTCTGTTTGCTTCGCTGAGCGCTGAACAATCTCCTCCATATCATGGACAAATGAGGGATCGGAAGCAGCAAGGGCTTTGATTTGAAGATCCATCTTGGAGCATGATCTCTCAGTGTCTCGAGCAAACTGCTCCACGAGAAGCCTTAATTGTTTGTTCGGATCTTCCAGTAAAGTGTAGCATGGCTCTGCAGAGTGGCCCGTGAAGGCCGCCATGGGTAACTCCAGCTCCGACGGCCCTTCTGGTTGTGGGAGAAAGTCTTCTTGGTAATGAGGTTGTTCTTGATATGCCCAGGGGTCTGGTTGTTCTCCGTAGAAAGGGGGTTGGTACTGGAACCCGAATCCATAGTCTTCTCCTCCTTGATTGCTCCAGGGAGTCTCGGGGTAATACCACTCGGATGGTGGTGGATACCCCCACTGGTTGGAGAAGCCATGCGGATCCATGATTCAGATCTGCACCAACAAAAACAAAAACAAAAACACCCTAGTGAAAAGCAAGGGTGGAAAAGAAAAGAAAAACGCTAAAGTAACAAACTTCTGTCTTTCCTAATAATCTAGAAAGTTCCCCGGCAACGGCGCCAAAAACTTGATGCTATAAAACACAACACCTAACAATGGCCAAGTGTAACCAATGAAAGGGACTGCAGTATAGTGGCACAAGTAATAAATATCAAATCCACGGGTCTCTAGAGTTACTATTACTCAGCTTCAGTTCATTATCTAGCAAACTAGATTAAGGATTGATTTATAAACTACTCTACTAACTACTCTACTAATTACAAGTTGTGAACTCACTTAGGTATGATTCCCCCTAGCTCCTCAATTAGGTCCAAGTTGTAATTCCTTTTGGTTGTTTTACTGTTGATTAAACTGCGGAAGATCCGACAGTAGCTTGGAATCTCTTAAGCTGACCAAGCCCTCTCAGTCTAACTATCCGGCAGACGACTAGTCTTCACCGGGATAGAAAGCTGAAGCAATAAGCACAGAACTCCACTACTGGAATTGGATTCCAGTGCAAAGCAGTAAACTGACTAACTCTCGTATAGCCAATCTCCTACTACCGAATGATGAGACTCTAGCAACCTAATCAGATTCTATCTATCTCAGGTTGCAGCAGAAATCAGGAAAAGTTGATCAGACTTCAATTGACTCAATAAACATGCATCATTCGATTATAATCAAACAATATAGCATCCAAAACTTCATACAAGAAAGATCCTAACTCATGGAACTAGGGTTCCTCAAAACCTAAGTGAAGGGAAGTTACTCCATAGAGAAGAGAGAGACTGCAGAAATCTAATCTAGATCTTCAATCTCCATCTCCAAGCTTGATTCCCGAGCTCCAATGGCGAAGAAATCCCCCAAAATAGCTCCAAGAATGTTCCCAAGTCGCTCTCTCTCTCTAGGGTTCGTCCCTTGGGTGTATTGGAACCAAAACCCTAGCTCTCTCTTTCCTTTGGCTCTAATCTGCCTCAAAAACCCGATTCTGGGCGAATTACGGGCTGAATTACGGTCGTAATTCTTCCATGCCCGTATTTTGCCCAAAACACGCGTTTTGGTTAAGTTTCAGCGCACCCAAAGCTCCTCTCGGCAGTGAAATTACGGGCATGGGAGGGGAAACTACGGTCGTAATTCTCATGCCCGTAATTCTTCCTCCACCCCTGTTCAAAGCTTCGTTTCTCCCTCGTCCGGACTCCAAATCAGTCGCCGTTTGAACCCAGACGCTCGTAGTCTCGTCCTCTTTCTTTTCATAACAAACTTTCATGATTCTTTGTCCATAAAGTGAGGTAGAAATCCATTCTTCTTCAGGTCATGCTCGTGTTTCTTCTCCCTAATCGCCAATTGATCTCCGATTGACTTGAAACTTGTGCCTACGCTTCACTTTATGTGCTAGGGCCTGAAATGTGACAAAGGAACACAACCTAGCGTAAAATAGGCCAAAGAAGCGATAATGCAAGCTTAAACGATCAAGAAACAAAGTGGAAAACATGTGCAAATATCGAGTCATCACCTGGCTACCTATCTTGACTCGTATTTGGAACAACTTTGGTTGCTTGCAGACGGCCATTGCGACACAAGCTTCGCTCGATCATGTGGCCTATCTGAAATACCAAAGGTTTTTCACTGACATTTATGCGGCATTTTCTTTTCTTTCAAGGCCTTTTGCAGTTTCTGCACCATCCTTAGTCATGTACCTCGTGCATTTTTTGTGAATGAACTGTTATACGATGATACAGTTTCAGCTCTCGTATTGCATGCTTTGCAGAGAAACATACATATTTCTTTTACCGCAAGTGCGATTTTAGCTCTCGTATTTATTTCTATGTAGACATTTCAAGAAGCACGGGCGAGTAACAATATGGAGGCTACAGAAACGAAAAATGAATACAATAAGCACCGGGAGTCCACATAATATAGTGCGTAGACATTTTTCTACATTAGCACCCGATAGTAGTCTGCGGCTGTAAATGTATATAAAGTTTCGGCGTTGCTAGTGCAGAAGTCCTCGTAGAGTTTATGGGACAAGATATTGCAGTCGTAGCCATGGCTCGATGATTCGTCATTAGGGGCCACAGCATCATCCTTCGGCTTTTCGAATAATTCAAACTTGCAGGCTAAGAGGTGATATTTGAATTTTAAACCATCTTGAAAATATAGGAATAGAACAAACAAGTTAATAAGTTATCATCATCACTGTAGTCTGAAGCCATCACTCATCTCTTGCCCCCTTCATACCCCGAGTATTTGGTAATCAGAAAATCTTTCAGCTTCTCAAGGGGTTGTCTTAGGTGCCAGCAGCTCCCCTGCCCTTTTGTAAGGAAACTTTTCCCTACCTGGCCTTTTCATAATCTTGCAAGAGTTACTCACACCTTCAACTCTTCAATCGGGCGGCTTGAAGGCGGTGTAGTAGGAGGTGTAACCGGTGTCGTCCCATTTGTAATACTTGTGAAAATTGGGGATGGGAGTAATCTTGTAGCTTATCTCCTCCTCTCCAAACCGTAAGGTGATCTTGCTTCCACTCACATCGATACTGGTCCTTGTCGTAGTTAAGAATGCTCGGCCTAAGATTATCGATGCATCATGTAACACCCCGATATTTGGGTTTAGATTCGACCAAACAGTTGGATCGACGATTATGTACGAAGGATGAGAACCGTAAAATTAGAAATAATAATAACATTAATAACTAATGTTATTGTTATTATTATTATCATTATCTCATCCATCCCCACGTCTCCCCCATTAGGAACGAAAAAGAAGACAAAAATAAATAAATAATAATAAAACCCCAACACGTTACCCTTCCCAGTGGAATCTCTACTCCAAACCGTTATAACCCCATTTACACCCTCTCTTCGTATGTCACGGCAACAACAGCGGAGAGAAACCCCCACTCGGACGCTTCCTCTCTCTCTTATACTCAACAGCGCATCGGAAGAAGCTTAAAAGAAAAACTAATCCCAGTTTCCCCATACCAAATCCCCAACCGACGTCCCCAATCCTCTCTCCCCGACCCAGCGACGAACAGCAGTAGCCTCGGACTCCTATCCCGCTGTTCCACCACGCCATCAACCTCACTCGACGGTGGATACGCTAGAGGCGTATGAGACTCATCGGGAAGTTGCGACGGCGGTTCCGGCATAGCCGACCTCAACCAAACTCTGAAACCTTGTCATCATCGCGAAGAGGACAATCCCAGGAGCATCCCGGTCTTGACGAAACAGAATTTTGACGTCGGACGAGGGAGATACGAATCCCGAGAGTTGGGGCGCAAATCTGATAATTCAGGTGCTAATATCGTAAATTCAAAAAGTATAAGTACCGTGGTGGCAATTATTTTTCAGTCTGCGAGACAATATCCAGATTAGTCCCCCATATTATCAGTTCAATCAGCTTAGTCCCTACTATTTTGGAAATTGACAATGGGCCAAAAACAGAACTTTATCAAGATTATGATTATTATAATTGTTTTAAAGTATATATTTTCTTGAGGTGATAATTTTATAAATAGTATAAAATCAAGAAAATGGTTGGGAATTAATCTGACAAGTTTTGAAGTTGTTTTTCTATTTATAAAAATAGTTATAAAAACGTTTTTGGTAAATTAAAGTAGGTTGCGAGCGTTTTCGTCATTTTTTTAATTTTTCCTGAAAGCTAGGTGTCGGTCTGGTTGTCCAGAAATTTGCGGGGAATTTTTGGAGTCGTGATGTTGTTTTTAAAAATTAAAATGATAACAGGTTTAATCTATTTAATTATTGTATGAGTTATTTTTATTAGTTCGTTAATTTTTTGCAATACTAGAATTGTGGTTGCACGTGGTAAAATTAAAATCGAGTATTTTAGGCACTGTTAGTATAGATCTAGATTCCTTATTGGTAAAATTGAATAAGTAGAAGGAGTTATCAAGGTGTAAATTCTACTCGATAATTTTGGTTCATGTTTAGAGTTATTTTAAGTCAAAATTTGAAGTTCTTAAGAAGTAAAATATTTTGAGAAATTTATGAGATTTATTTATAAGAGTTTCGAGTTGACAGTAGTAATTCTAGTCTTGGTAAAATTTGGAGGAAAATCACAGTATTTGAGAAAATTTTTTCAAGAAGTTCAAGGCCTTTTTTAAAGAATTTTTGGGACTAAGCTAGGAGGACGGAAAACTCTACGGAATACCGACTAAGAGTAATTAATCTCAATTGATAGGATTAAAGAAGCGATCAAGTGAAGGTTCTTCACGTCCAACGAATTAATGTATCGACACTTGAGTGGTGAGTGTAAAGGGGGTAAATTCTACGCCTTACGGTATTTGAGTTCTTTGAGATTGATTGCTATGTGTCGTACTTGTCTTTGTGTGTTTCTATGATGCCATGTGAGTTTGCGTGAATATGCTTTCAGTTGTATGTTATTGCATGCTTTACTTACAGGTAAGTTCAAGTTTAAGAAACAAGTACTTTTTAAGAAGTAACTCACCTTTAAGAAGGTGAAGTTATTTTAAGTGTTTTTAGTCACTAGTGCCAGTCCGTTGCCATTTGAGATTTTCACACAGAGCAGCAGTTATGCTCTTGAGACTTTTAAGATGAGCAGCAGTTATGCTCTTGAGATATTTTAAGATGAGCAGCAGTTATGCTCTTGAGAATCGTGGAAGAAGAGCCTTCCACGATAAGTTTAAGCTTAAGGAAAGCCTGGATGGCTTCTCATACGTATGAGTTGGCAACCGGACTAGCTAGTGAGGGATCCCAGTGTCGGTCAAATATTTAAGTTGAGATTTGAGCTTTAAGAATAAATTTTAAAGAGTGGAAGTATCATCCACCAGTTTAAGTTAAGTTCTCAAGTAAGAAATACTAGAGTTTTCAAACGTAAGGGCGTAGACTGAACCCAACTCACTCACCAGATCGTAGAGGAGGAAATCCTAACCAGCCAGTCCGGGGTCAGCAAGCTAGAGGAGCTCAACACCATCGTCGCTGAGAGATGTCGAGCCAGGCGTCAGAGTAAGCATCAAATAACTTGTTAAGTTATTAAGACTTTATGGTTAAGAGTTAAAGACTGGAGATTCATTTCTTTTGGACGATATAAGTTTTGCCCACGTGTTTAGGGCTTCAATTTGAGATATTAAGATATTTGAGTTTGGTATTTTATTTAGGGTTAATATTTCGTATAGCCTGAACTTTGACCAAAATAAACATCATAGCCAATCTTTTCGGTCTATAACATCCTGGCCCGAACTATACACCAAAATAAACATCATAGCCAATCTTTTGGCCAAACTCGATGTTTGACTGTTAACTTGGACGGTCAACGCGCCACGTCACTGCCAAGTCAGAAGATCTGATAAATATTTAATTTTTTCGTTTTTTTTGGTTTAACTAAGGTATTAGATGATTTTTTTAATTATAATAATTTAAAATTAGGGAATGTGTGGAAATTGTGAATTATTTTAAATATTTTATGCTGACTCGGCAGTGACATGGCGCGTTGACTAACGGTCAACGTGTTTAACCGTCCAAGTTAACGGTCAAAAGTCGGATCTGGCCAAATTGTTTATTTTGGTCTATAGTTCGGGCCAGGATGTTATAGATCGAAAAGATTTGCCAGGATGTTTATTTTGGTCAAAGTTCAGGCCATACGAAAATATTAACCCTTTTATTTAAACTTAGGTTATTTGAGATTTTTAATTATACCCCGGGGTAGAAATGTCTTTTTCCAAATTCAAAGGGTGGGATGTTTCATTTTGGTATTAGAGCCTAGTCTTCCTCTGTTTCTTGGTTCCCAAGAAATACTGGAATGTCGGTCTCAGTTTTTAAAGGTTTTGTTTTTAAAGATTTCAAGTCAAAGTTTAGCCAAACAAGTCAAGGTTTTCTTTTAAGAATTTAGAATCTCCAGTCTACTCTAAACCATATTAAGGAAGAAATAACTAAGTTCTAACGAGACACGATGTGTCTACAGTGCAAGTGTTGGCCAGAACCCCACACCACCGGTGCCACCACCAGAGAGACGCCCACCGGACTATGTAGGCTTCTGGAAGAGAAAGGTGGAAGATTTTAGGGGGAGCGTTCAACGGACCCCATGGAAGTAGAGCAGTGGCTAGCCAAGGTCACTCGTAGGCTCGTCGAGATGAGAGCCGATGACGAGGACAAAGTACTGCTGACAGTGTCCTTGCTGCAGGACGCTGCATACAACTGGTGGACTACCCAGCCAGCTAGTCGAGAGGATCCACCGGCCATCACTTGGCCAGAGTTCGTGCAGCTATTCAAAGCCCACTTCATACCGGAGGCCTACCGGATCGGGTAGCAGAGGGAATTTTTGCTGATCAGGCAGAAGTGAGGCAGTGAAGGCAGGGAAAGTGTGACTAATTACACGGCCAGGTTTGACAAGCTACTTACCTATGGAGGGCCTCAATTCCAGGATGTAGCTTCTCAACGCACCCATTACCTGGAGAGCCTGAAGCCTGCTTTTCGGCGTTAGCTGAGTATACTGAATTGGAACAACAGGGAAGAGATTTATCAGGCAGCTCTTCGGTTGGAGAGGGCGGATATAGCTCTGCATGAGGAGGGAATGCAACGTGAGGGCAACAAGAGAAAGGTTACTAGCCTGTCTGAGGGGCCGGGACAACCAAGTTAGCAAAGAAGGAGACCATCCTAGAGCTACTATGGGGCCACCCAGAGCCAGGTCGGCGTAACCAGATCAGGGCCTACATTCCTCGGGACCCATGCAACCAGTGTGGGAGAACTCACTCGGGAGAGTGTGAGGTGCATCTGGGAGGCATCTGCTATCACTGCAACGAACCGGGCCACTATGCCAGAGATTGTCGTAGGAGAGGAGGGCAGGGGAGAGCCGAGTCCGAACAATCAGTCCGAGGCGGAGGAGGAAGAACTCAAACCGGATAGTAGTTTGGAAACCAGCCAAACCAGTCTTATCACCAGCAGGGAGGAAATGCAGGACGGTTTAACCTCAATGAGCG